TCTCTCACATCCGGCTGCTTTTCATTTAGCTGATGAGGCGTTCAAGCTCTTTATTCTTTCACTGAGTTTTCTAATTTGGGATAGTAGGCCTACTGAAGATACTTTTTATGTCGCCCACGCCTATAACGCATTTTAATATAATTAAATGCAGCATAAAGCACTGTAAATTATAGTCATAATCACTTTGAAATATGCATAATGCTTTAAAACAATAATCCACATTATAATGACTCATAAAGTCAATTATCATATTACTTAGAGCTGGTCAGTGTCTTTTTTGCAATACAATAATCATCACTAATCATGAATAGTCAACATACTTTATAACTAATAACATTACACACTTTTATAATGTTTTATAATGACTTAAAAAAAGGTCAATTATTAACATACTTCATAAATGCTCACTGACATTTAGATGACCGACAACATTTGAATACTGCTTTTACTTGAATGGATCAGCTATATTTGTTTTATATATGATTTAATATTGTAAGGAAACAGTAACTGGGGCTTCATTCAACCATAATTAGTACTTTTGATGCTTTAAAAAGGGGCCTATTCTGCTCATTCTCATGTTCATATTAGTATTTAGGGTCTCTACCGTGACATGTCTCCATACTGGCCGGCTCTGTTGTGATTGGTCAACCGCTGTAAAATGTCCCGCCCATTAGCCTATCCCGTACAATGTGATCGAGCGCATAGTTACGGTATGTCAGTATGTTCTGGAAAGGAGAGTGAATAATTAAATAGAAATGCAAGAAAAAGAAGGGAGAGGGTCATGATGCAACTATTTCTGATACATTATTATTAGCTAAGTGTTTAACTGCTGTGGCTGAATTTATTCCGAACATTACAATAATTCTCCACGGTTTAAAAGAAGGTAATTAATTCTAATAAGGTATTAAATGTGAGTGATAGGCTGTAGCGTCCCTGAACTTAAATCTCTAATCCCCCAATATCTACGACCTGAAAGCTCATTAGAGGTGCTTAATTACACATTCAATTCAAGTGGTTTCATTTGCTCTGAATTGCCAGATGAAAAGGTGTCATTATGCAGCATTAGGAACGAGGGACAGCGACGGAGCTTCATCAGTATTCCTGCTCTCAGAGGCCGAGCAGCGGGGAATTATCTGTGAAGCCGGACTGGAGGATTGTAATGAAAGCTGCATGAGTCAGACGGCCCGGGGCCAGGAGGAGAGCAACGACACACAAACAAGATGTGCACACACTCACAAACAAGATGTGCACACACTCACAATGTGTTCAGACTGATACATAAAACATTGAGGGGCTTGTACAGCAGAGGCTTCTGGATAGTCTCCAGTCTTTATGCTAACTAAGCTGACCATCTCCTGGCTGTAGTTCATATTAAAGAAACAGACATAAGAATGGTAATGATCTTCTCATCTCTCAGGAGATAGTTAGATTCTCTCATCTAACCAGTATAAAAAAAGTATATGGGGAGGCTGTGGCTCAGTGGATAGAGTGCTGGACTTCGAATCAGGGGGTAGCAAGTTCGGGTCCCACTGCAGTCAGCATGTCGTTGTGTCCCTGAGACACTTCACCCCAAATTGCTCCTGTGGGGATTGTCCTCAGTACTGAATGCATGTAAGTCGCTTTGGATAAAAGCGTCTAACAAGTGACATGTAATCAGGGGCGGTTCTAGGGGGGGGCCAGTGCCCCCTAATACTTTTTTAAATGTATATTTTCTGGTACTCGGTTTGCCAAAAACCGCAGGATTTTTGTTGCTGCAATGTGAGATTGTGCAGACACCCTTATGTAAAGTAGAGATGTAGCTGTTCATTGCCTTTATTTATATATAAATATGGTGTTAGTGCAAACATTGCACTATAACTTAAGCTGAAGCTAACAGTAATAACTATAAGATCTATCTGAAATAAATAAGTGTACTGAAACAAATACCAATAACTGTATTGCATTGTTTTCTTATGCGCAATTACTTCATTAGTTCTCTTTTTCGTCCTGCATTTATTGTGCCCCCCTCAGAAAATAACTGGCCCCCCAGTGGCCCCCCCAGTCAAATTGGTCTAGAACCGCCACTGCATGTAATGTAATGTAATATATATCTCCCAATAAAGAGCTGCCGTTATGTTTGGAGTTTCCCTCTCCTGTAGTGTGTTCCATAGGTTTTAGTGCATGTAAATGGTCTGCAAAGGCTAAAATCCCTGTGTTCCCTCCAGAGGGAGTTTCTCTCACACGCACTTTGTGTACAAGATACAGACAGAGACTGTGGGCCAGGACGCCCTTGAAAATCCCAGTGAAATAAAAAAAGCTACAGAAAACCCCTGATAATTAAACGTGTCTGGTTTCACATTTCATCATGGTAACACTTTTCTGTATTATGAAACATTCATATGCGAACATAAAGTGTCCCCGGTGGGCTGCATAATTTAATTAGGAGGATGAGGTGAAAGCGGGACAATCTTCCCATGCTGCATTTAAAAAGAGTGTTTTTGATTAGAAGTGAATCCAGCAAGCAGCCTGCGGCGGGAAGAAGACGCTGCCGCCATGCAACACAGATCTCTGCAGAGAGACCACAGAACGGGGGGGAGAAGGGATTTCCAGCAGGGGCAAAGGGGAGTGGGTTTAGTAGACTTCAATCTCAGCTGAACAAATTGAGTGTTTATTTAGCAACATGCTCTGCCAATGTATTACATCACAGCCAACAAAAGTCAAGCATGAAAAGCAGCGAAATCCCCCGGTGTCTTACATCACAGGCGCTGAAAAGCAACTGTTCCACCTCCAACATATGTGTGTGTGTGTGTGTTGTGTTAGGTGTCTAATTGCAGAGTGTGAACGGTGGCAGCCTGTGAGTCTGTACCTCCTTCACTCTCTGGATCATCGGCTGCAGCCAATCAGTGTTGACCTCGCAGTGGCTGTCCAGGAAGGTCAAGATTAAGGCTGTGGCCGAGTTGGCTCCTTTCACACGGGATCGGATCAGACCTGAGGAGGGAAACACAAGGAGTCTAAAAAGAAATTCTCTTTAAAACATAGACGGCTTTACAGAAGATGACAGATTTGACAGGTGAAACAGAAGACAGTACTAGACAGGAATGTACACACAATGCATTGAAAAGTATAAAAACATCTATAGAGTGGTTAAGGAATGAGTCCTAAAACCTGGAACTTAGTCAGCTTTCAACAATTCTGCTTCTCTTGACTCCAAGTCAACTGTTTTCTGAATATGTTTTTGGTTGTAGGCCTGAATTAAGATCTGTGGTTAACACAAGCTGAAGAGATTTATATTCTACGACAAAAAAATACGCCAGTAAATACCTCACTGGTGGATTAAAAAACTGCGGTTGCTAATACATTTCTAAATGAGACAACTAAACGTCATCACGCCCAACATTAGCCACCTTTAGCTTAGCGGTTTTGACGTGAAGTCATGTGACCGTCAGTGGCGTTTTCTCCCGGAGGCCAAGGGAAGCCAGGCTTCCCCTGTTTTTTCGGATTGTAGTTATAATTTAAATAAATAAATACAAACACTTTGTTTTGTTTCGATAATTCTCCTTTGCTGTGTGTTGCTGCCGGCCCGGCTCTCCCCCATTCTCATTGAGTATTTTACAAAGAGTGAAACAAACAGCGCCCCTCTAGATGTTATGGTGAAACAGTAGATTGCACTCACTGTTGCGAGAGGAGGCCAGCCGAATCTAGCTTCCCTTGGTGAAAAAAAATGGAGGGATTGACCAATCAGATGAGGCCCACGTGATGCCCCTGCCAACCTGTGATTGGTCAGGGCCATGCCAAGGGAAGCTAGCCGCCTCTTGCTTCCCTTCAGAGGCGGCTGGCGGCTGGCGATTTGATTGGACACTGCCATCCAATCAAATCACATCAACATCAGTTTTAATACTGTAACTGTCATCACCGCCGTTAGAAATTATCAAGCAAATGAAGCATTATGGAGGGTGGAGATTTGGCGTACTTAATCAAACATAACTTTACTAAACTTCCGCTACAGCAGCAACTAAAAATTAAATCAGATGACAGGCCAATGCCCGCACTCGAGCTGTGTGTACGCAGAGGAAAAAGGGAGAGAATCGGACGTTCAATGAGGACAATTATGTCCGCACGTAGTGGCTAACTGGAAGCGCTAAACTTCAGCGTCTAATTTGCTGGCCATGTCTTCTTTTTGACAAGGATTCGTGCTCCCTGAACAATCCTTGGGCAACTTCAGGATTCATCGACCTTGCCAACCTGTCACGGGCAATTGAGAGGCACGGTAAATCCAAAAATCACATAGATTGTGTGATTGTCTGCATACATTAATAAGTAAAATGCTTAAATTAATAAGGAGAGAGTTTCAGCTGGAGAGTGCGTGCGGACCTGTCGGTTAGATAACAGGCGTGTGCAAGTCCTGCATCTGTGTGATACAAATGTGTGTCAAATGATACCGGGCGCTGTAATCACTCATCTGGTTACGTTATTGACCACCCCCCGACCCAAAAAATGGGCTTCCCCTACATTTTTCCCCACGCCACGCTACTGGTGACCGTGCTGTTAGGGCTGAACGATGTCATGGCGATAACCACGATATGCGCATGCGCGATATTCACATCGCAGGGACGTGCGATTTTATTAATTATTTATATTACTTTTATATTTTTAAGATGTGCGATATTAAGTAGGTACATTAACTCAAACACGTCATGTTACAATTATTTTGCTGCTTGCTACAAAAGGAAAACGTGCACGGCTCTCATGTCAGGGGTACTTCAGTGAGTGACATGCAGGCTCTGCATGCACAGCAAACCCCCAATCACAATCATTCTTGATCAGATCACAGCAGGCCCCGCCCCGCTAGTTTGCAGACCATCAAAACACCGGTAAAAAATGAGCGAGGCACAGGAGGACGATACCGGCGAGAATGAAGAAATACTTCCAAAGAGAAAAGCAACATCTGCCATCTGGAACTATTTTGTATACAAAAAGGTTCTTCTCTTCTTCATTCACAGATGAACCCCCTTATTTGAGGGTAAGCAACATGCATTATCATGACATGTTAGATCATGACTTAAGGTATGATGAGTCAACCAGTTAAGTCGATCCAGACGTCCGTGACTAAAATCCTTCATCCGGTTAAATATAGTTAAAAAAAACGCAATATATATTGCAGGGGGACAAAATATCACAATGTCAGTTTTTTTCAATATCGTGCAGCCCTACAGTACGTGCTGTAGTTCCTTTATAGCCCAACATTAGCCTCCTTTAGCTTAGCGGTGGTGACGTAAAGTCATGTGACCGTGCTGTAGTTCCTTTATAGCCCAACATTAGCCTCCATTAGCTTAGCGGTGGTGACGTGAAGTCATGTGACCGTGCTGTAGTTCCTTAATAGCCCAACATTAGCCACCTTTAGCTTAGCGGTGGTGACGTAAAGTCATGTGACCGTGCTGTAGTTCCTTTATAGCCCAACATTAGCCTCCTTTAGCTTAGCAGTGGTGACGTGAAGTCATGTGACCGTGCTGTAGTTCCTTTATAGCCCAACATTAGCCTCCATTAGCTTAGCGGTGGTGACGTGAAGTCATGTGACCGTGCTGTAGTTCCTTTATAGCCCAACATTAGCCTCCTTTAGCTTAGCAGTGGTGACGTGAAGTCATGTGACCGTGCTGTAGTTCCTTTATAGCCCAACATTAGCCTCCTTTAGCTTAGCGGTGGTGACGTAAAGTCATGTGACCGTGCTGTAGTTCCTTTATAGCCCAACATTAGCCTCCTTTAGCTTAGCAGTGGTGACGTGAAGTCATGTGACCGTGCTGTAGTTCCTTTATAGCCCAACATTAGCCTCCTTTAGCTTAGCAGTGGTGACGTGAAGTCATGTGACCGTGCTGTAGTTCCTTTATAGCCCAACATTAGCCTCCATTAGCTTAGCGGTGGTGACGTGAAGTCATGTGACCGTGCTGTAGTTCCTTTATAGCCCAACATTAGCCTCCTTTAGCTTAGCAGTGGTGACGTGAAGTCATGTGACCGTGCTGTAGTTCCTTTATAGCCCAACATTAGCCTCCTTTAGCTTAGCGGTGGTGACGTAAAGTCATGTGACCGTGCTGTAGTTCCTTTATAGCCCAACATTAGCCTCCTTTAGCTTAGCAGTGGTGACGTGAAGTCATGTGACCGTGCTGTAGTTCCTTTATAGACCAACATTAGCCTCCTTTAGCTTAGCGGTGGTGACGTGAAGTCATGTGACCGTGCTGTAGTTCCTTTATAGTAGGGTGACCATATTTTGATTTCCAAAAAAGAGGACATGCTGCCCCCAGCCTCGAGATACTTAATGATACTCAACGTTTACTCAAAGATGCCTTATTGTTTTAAAGTATGCCTCCTCTGTATGGATATACAATTATTAGTTATATTATTTTACTGTATATAACACAATAATATCTCTCTATAACCAAAGACACACCAAACCAAGGTTACTCAACAATCAACATGCTTTATTATGCCTAGAATTATCTCTGACAAATCTCAAATGCACAAGAATAACTTAAACATCAACCTTTAACAAAATAATAGCTCTCTTTTCAAGTCTTACTGGACACAAATAAATAACAAAATATATGAAATAGTATAAAATAGAAAATCCAGCTTTAACAAATAATCTCTTTGTATCTTGTCAATGTAAACAATACAACAGTAACCTCACAAATATACTAATCTAATTATTTTAAAAGTGCACTATGCAGTTTTGGATTTCACATTTGCATAATTGCCCAGTGGCGAACCGTCAGGGCCTTCAAGGTATTCAGAGAATACCCTGGAACACTCAGATAAAACAAACAAAAAATCGATTTAATTATATAAATAAAATGTAATAAAATGAATAAATGAGAATGGTATCTGTGTTGTTGATCTGTAATAATAGAGTTACGTTGATTTGTTTGTCCTTCTCGGACCATGCTCTATGCATTGCAGTGGTTTTGTGTTAGAAAAGAAAGCAACCAATCAGATCTTGTTCTGGGTCTCCGGGTAGAATATCCTTCAACAAGGTATTCTAAATCCTTGATCGAATGCCCTGGCCGTTGCACTGAATGAGAGCGTACGTTTGGACTGACAGTTTGATCAACCAATCATATATTGATTTGTAGCCAATGGGCGTGTTCTTCCAGAGTTCCCCTCGGTTCCAGGGTATTCTAGAAGGCCCGCTAGTTAACTGGCTCGAGACAGAGGATCCTAGAATGAATGCGACGAAGCAATTCATGCTGTTTTATTGTTTTTAACGTTGAAATGACAAGTGCAACAGGAGAAGATGAAGTTGTTGCGGAATTGTTGTGAGTACCCTTTTCAAGACGACAATTCAGTGAAAAGACGGACATTATAATGCTGCAGAGGGGGGGTGTGTGTGTGTCTACAGAAGGTCCAGTTGTGATAGACACGGTTCGCCACTGTAATTGCCATTAGTGAACATAACATAACATAACATTTGATTATCTAAATCAAACCAAACACATTTTGAGGCACCATGAACCAAATATAAGCCTACTTTAAATGTCCAGGCCCTGTCATTGTAAACAACCAGTGAAACGACAACTTTTCACATATTTCTAGCTTCAAACAGTTTTCTAGGGTCCCAATTTAAAATTAAAAGTTTAAAGTTTCTCTCCCACAGCTCCATAGCTTTCTCTCTCTGCATAGCTGCATACTTCAATCTTCTTCATCCCGCTTTTCTTCTTCATCCTCCTTCGATATTTAGCTGTGGAGCTGATCTTTCCCAGCAGTTTTCGGTTGCTCAACAAATAAGCATGAAAGTCTTTGCAAGACATGTCTTTCAAATTGTATTGCACACATAGAATCCCCTTCAGTGACTCAACAGACAGCTGGTTCCTCTCCTTGGTCACTGGCTCTGCATCAGTGAGAAAACCCTCTCAACATTTGCATTGTGAGAGGAAAGTGCAAAGACAAACTGCAATCTTCAGTAGTTCTGAGTAACATGCAATGCTTTTGGCCTTCTCAAA